TAACTCTAGCAGCATAGTGGAGTAGTGGTAGAGCTGGGTGGGAATTTTTTTGCCAAAGCTTTCAGTTGGAAAATGCTGATTTGTCAAACCAAAACTATTTGCAGGAAATAGTTGTCTTTAACAAATCTCCCAATTTGAAATTAAAAAAAAATTAGAAATTATTGAAATGTCTCATTCTGATGTTTTTTGAAACTATTGGTTTTGGGTTCAAAATGACCTTTTTGTCAAAAAGATCAACATTTTTAAGTGGTCAGAATCCTAAATGAAATGTTTGAGTTATCAAAATGAAATGTTGTAATTGACAAAATCCAAAATTGGTTTTGATTATCTCTGAAAGTTTTTGACCATGTCTCAGTTTAGGGTTGGACATTTTTTTGAAATCTTTAAATTTTTTGTAGAATAAGAGAACCATTTTCCTTCCAGCTCTTAAGTAGTTGGCCTATTATACTGTTATGACTTTAATTATACACCACATGGCACAGTTACATAGTTTTAAAAGTATTTTTACTTAATATGAGCATACCATTAACACTTTTGAAGGAATCCATGCATTGTTCGTTTTGTGATGGGGTTTCTTTTTCAGGGGAGCTGTTGCAAATAGTAGAAATGTTTGCCTTTTGTCTTAATATCACCAATTCTTGGGGGGAAAAGCTATTCCTGGAGAACCAAACGCTTGCATCTGAGCTGAGATTTCTAAAATATTTTAATGGCAAGAGGTCTCGAAAACAGGCTATGAGTTGAGAAGAGTAGGAAACACCAACTTGCAGTTGTTGAAAAATTAAGGGAAGGTTAGAATAACAAATACACTCCAGTTAATTCTATTAGCCAAGAAGCTTTTGGATGAAAGAAACAGAATGCCTCTTTTCCCAGAAGTCTTGGGGGGACTAGAGACTTCAGATTGTTAGTTACTAGCCAGAAGCTGGAAGATTGAGCTTCTGAGCAGGAGTCCAGGTACAACAACCTGGTAGAGGCACTAACACATTTTATATTCACAGCTAAAAGATTTAAAGGGGGTGGTTCTTTAGGTGGGCACTGCTTTTGGACAGTAAGCCAGCTCCCATCTGTTGTCTGTGCCTTTTGGCTCATAGGTTATCTAGCTAAACTTAAACAACAAATAGTCTGGTAGCACTTTATAGACTAACAAAACATGCAGATGGCATCATGAACTTTCGTGGGCACAGCCCACTTCTTCAGATGACTGGAGTAATTAGTTGTTAGTTTTCAGATGAGCTTTCTAAGGCTTGTGTGTATTTAGGGGGTGGCTGAAATCTGACAGAAAAGTGAGGTGTAATTTGAGACAGAAGCAGCAAGAGAAAACAGCCTCTTAAAATATGGGTGTAAAAAGTGTGCACAATGTAGGAAAATCTATAAAGAAATGATGGGATGACAAGGAAAAGAAGCAGCAGCCCTAGAATCATAGATCTGGAAGAGACCTCAGCAGGTCATCAAGTCCAGCCCCCTGCCCAAGGCAGGACCAATCCCAACTAAAAGACCATACAAAAAGGGAAACATTGCAGAGGGTGTGGTTTTGGAGGGAGGTGTAAGCTAGGGGTTGGGACTGATGTTTTTCTTCCATGCTAATTGGTGTTGGGTATATTTTCCCTCTCAGCAAATATTGCTTTGTGACCCGGAGAGGGGGAGTTATATTTCAATTTAAAAAGTGTATGAGGTGGAGTTCAAATAAGAGTCATTGGGTTATGGAAGAAACTAACAAAAATACCAGTCTGACAGTAGCCTTGGTTGTTTACAGAGAGATCTTTCTTCTGTGGTGTTTACATTACGTAAAAAGGGAATGGTCGATTAGACGGCACCAGCTGATTCATACTGTAATGTTTCAAGAGTGTTTTGAAATCATTATGGAAGAGGAGACAGAGAGGAAATTATAGACAGCTTTTTTTGAAACTGCTTATTGCTACAAGGAAAATTTTTCTTTTAAAGAATAAGTAGCGTATCTAAGCAATCAAGAAGTTGCTTGAAAAAACAAGTCTGAATGCTTTGAAGCTGTGGGGTTGTCTGTACAATAAATGCTTCATATGTAATTATGTCAAGGCCATTAATTAATCTGCCATTAAGTTTCAGCTGGAGTTTCCATTATGAATCACAAGTTTCAAGTTTAATATTTTTGATATTTTGACTGTCGTCTGACAGACTATCAATATACAAATGATCAAGCACCATATTTGTGTAAATCAGATAATTACCTAGTTAACTACTGTTGTGATTCTTGAGCTTTAATATATATTTGTGAATCGAGATCCACTGTATTCTTGAGTGAGAATTAATGCTCCAAAATGAGCAACTAAGTAAGTGATCCTGTGTCCTGCAAGATTCCAGAAAGCTGACTGACAGAGCTCATTAACACTAGTTTCACTTTGAATAGTCCAATATCAAAGTTACTGCTGTGCAGGTGAATAGTACTTGTAGGGAGAGCGAGAGGAAAACTGAGATACAGGCAAAGGAGGAAGATTATTTCACCTGAGGACTGAAATAAATTGTGTCAATAGGGCAAAGTGACACAGTCAGTCCTGTCATCCAGAGCTTTTGAGGAGACAGTGGTAAATTCACAAGGGTGAAACTGCATGAAGGGACAAAAAGGTTATTCCTGGGTCACCAAAAAATGGTGTGAAGAGAGATTGGATTATTGAGAGAGGCTGAAATTTATCTATGGAGAACTTAAAAAAAAAGAGGGCCAATTTGACTTGGAAATGGAGAGGCAACAAGGTTCTTTGAGGACAGAAGTGATGTGGCTGGCAGCTGCATTGGGTACATGCTCTACAGGTCTGTTGTCATTTGAAGAGGCCACAGAAAAGGTACTGCAGCAGTTGGAAGTGTGAGAAAGTAAGACATGAGTGATATGGGAGATTGAGAAGCTGTTAGAGTTCAGAAAGATGCCATGGTTACAGACTGTGTAGTTGCAACGAAGTTTAGACTCAAGGGTGGTAAGAGTTATGTAAAATTGAGGATGTTTCTTATGCCCAATATAAGCTCTTTTATTTATTGTATCTGTGGCTGAAAGAAGTTGAGGTGAAGATGTTGTTTGGTTTGTTGAAGGCAGGCAGAAAAAGTGGACAGATGAAAGTTGGAAGTAAAAAGTTGTACACATAATATCATTGGTACTAAAATATTAGTTAAGGGGGAAAAAATAGGATGACCAAAAAGGCAAATAGGCCTATGGATTAAATAGGGCAGTGTTCTGACATATATGGAGTGCAACAGAGGTGGGGTCTTGAAACATATATGAGTTTGTCACTGAAGGCCGGTAGGAGTGGAACCTTCACAGGAAATAAACAAACATGGAATGTACCCTAAAGGATTGAATTGGCCAATTGCAGTGACTATGCTGAGGTCAAAATTAGATGAGGAAAGACAAGTAATTTTCACAAGCAGAAACATGTATGGCTAATTTTGTGGAATAGAGCAGATTCTGGGATATTGATAGTCTAAAACACGACTTGAATATTTAGTGTCAAAGGTGTCTAGAGAGAGGCAAACCTACTGTCTCAATATCTTTTCTAAGGAAGGGAAGATTTAAGACGTGATAGGTTAAGGAAAAGTGGTAAAGTTGCAGGGCAAGGATGAGCAGTATGTTTGGAATGAATACCAATCCAGATGGATTTGAATGTCACAATCATATGTGTACTGATACCATTGTGGTCTTCAGAGGTAACCCAGAATGAGTACACTGGCAGTCATAAAGGCATGAATAACTTTGATGAGATCCAAATCAGAGAGAAATGGCTGCAGTGGTTGAGCCAAGTTTTTATTTAGACTCTGCTAGTTCTGTTAGTTTTCATTGATACACACACATTCATCATTTGTCCACGGATGCAGGTACAAGTCAGGGACCAGCAGGAAAAACTGCCAGGGCTGTGAAACTTCTTGACATAGGATCTAGGCAATCTCAGTAATGCAGAGCCGATACTGCTACTACTACAACTTCTAGATATGTCTGCCTAACACCATTGCTTTGTTTCTTTGGACTGAGTCTGTCAGCCTCAGGCCCCTTCTGAGTCAGGCATTGGGAAGACAGAGATGTACCATGTCAATTTCACGGAAAAGAGGCTGAGTCCAGGTCTGTACTAGATCCGGAAAGACAGCTTTAAGGTACACAATTCCAGCTATGTAAATAACAGGAAGTCAGTGGGAGTAAATGCTCCTGGTGGCTTCCCTTACTCATCATGAATGAAGGAATACTGGCCCTGACCAGGGGTGCCCTCAGGGTTCAGTTTCGTGGGTCCTTACTAGATCTGCTAAATCGAACACCAGAAGATCAGTGTCTGGCACGGCAGGTGGAGACATGGCTTTAGAAAGGTATATACTCTCTCTGTTCTTGGCATTGCATAAGTCCAAATGGCCTCATACATGCATGTTGAATAGGGGGATTATAATCTTTCAGTGCATTGCATAATAGGCTTGAGTAATTGGGATACCCTTGATGAAAAGAAAGAACTACTGAAATGTCATTGTAAGATCCCATTCTGCCACGCTAATGTTACAGTAAAACAATCAGCTAACCTGAGATATGAAAAGCTGTTGGTACATCTGAAGATGTCAATCTGGACACCTAACTGCTATTTATCCACAAAAACTAACAAAACTAGCAGAGTCTTTGAACCCTATAGAACTATTCCTTCAAGTGGGCATATGGTTTCCATACTGGAATGTGATGATACATATGGTCATAAAGCCTGCAGTGGTGGTTATATTGGTTTTCAAAGAATGTCACTTTGCTTGCCAGCAGTTTTTTATTTCAGCATGCATTTGGTTAATTTACCGTTGCCATTGTTGAGGATTGTGAGGTTGGAGCTACAGATTTTGTAATTTCTGTATATCAGTGGCTAATACATGTTATCGGGCCTAATAATTTACAGGCACCAGTAAAACAAGAAGCTTGCACGAACAAATAGGCTGTAAGTCTTTTGAATTGTATTGCCCAGTAATTGCACAGACCTTTACCCTGGAGGTCTTTTGACTCCTTGACGTTTTATTTTACCTTTTAGGCACACCGCTGCTGGTGAGGAGGAGCAGTGACCCATCGATGGGCCCACCAGCTGACTTCTACCCAGGTGCTGCACACCCCACTGACAATGGTCTGATACCCGTTGTGACTGTAAGTATCAGCTTGTTTATGGTTTTAGGAAAAGTGAAATTGTTTTTACTTGTGCATATAAATAGCTTTGTTTTGTCTCAAGCCAGTTCTATGGAAAAGGCCAATTCCATCTCTATTTATACTGTTAGGGAGAGTATAATTTTGAGATTATATGACATCTTTAACTCACAGTGAGTTTCCTTTCGTTAATGGGCGATTTAAGTAGAGTGAAACTAGACTATGAGTTTTGTGCAGTAATTGATCTTTTAGTGATTGTACAATATAGTCCAATTCAGCATCAGTCAGTAGCACGTTTTTCTCTTTTTTAGCACCACCAATAAGTAGCCTTATTTTTTTTATCCTCCTTTCTGTTTTTTTTCCCCTGTTTTCTTCACTCTGTATGTCTTTCCTCCTGCCACATCTAGTCACCATTCTCTGAGGCCTACACTTCCTGATTTTACAGACTATTTAATTGCTGATCACTTTAATGTTGATATAGCTGTTCTCATTAGGCATTAGTGCTAACATACAAATAAGATTAATGGGATGTCCAGGGAGTTTATGCCTCACAGGGCTAGTGCTTCAGGCTCACTGCAGATTCTTGAAAGCAAGATAGTTTCAGTTGAAGTTGGGTCACATTTGAAAAGGTTTATTTACAAATTTAACATCAATTTTTTTATTAGATTCTGTAGATATTCATCACACAAGTGTATGTACACTAGTATACTTGCCTGATATCATTGGGGTCCTTAACAGTGATAATTGATTTTAAATAAAAGAAAAATGTATAAGCTTTATTTAAATGATGATTGTATAGGGCAGAGATGATTTATTGAAATGATGATTGGGTGAAGGGCGCAGGGCAGGGGTTGGGAGGTCAGGAGTCAGTGCTGGGGGTTAGAAGGTGTGAGAGATCTCAGTGCAGGGGATTGCAGTGCAGGTGTCAGGGCAGAGGTGACTGCAACTTGAGACCATCGCTCCTTGTTCTGTCATCTGCAACTATTGAGTACAGCCTCTCTCCACCCTCTTTGGATGCCCCCTTCAGTGACTTCAGTGAGGCTAGGAATCCATCCACAGTGACTTCTCTGATCTGACTGGGGACACATTATGACTCCTTTTAAGTTGTCTTGTTCCTAGAAGACCTTTAGCTGACCTCTGAGTTAATCAATGGGCTGTTTAAACTTCATTTAATGCATATTTTAAAGATTAAGGAGTCAGATCAATTTAAGAGTTGCTCCTATGGCTAAACCTAGTCTCATATTTTCATGAAACCCGTCAAAACTGGTTTCATTTTATATATTGTGGATGTGTAATTTGCAATTTTGGATAAGTTTCATATTTAATCACCACCTTTTCATGTTTCAAGCCCTTGTTAAAAAGGGTCAGAACCTCCTCCAGTTCTTCCACCGTTATTTGTGATTAAGTGTTTGAAGCTTTTGTGATTAAGTGTTTGAAGAGTAGCATAAATTTTAAAATATCAGCTTTTGTGATTAAGTGTTTGAAGAGTAGCATAAATTGTATGTATGTTCACGTGCCCCAGCCTAACTCAATTGTTTGTTCTCTTTACATATAATTTAATATGGCATGTAAACATAGATATGAATTAAATATTTTATTTGATGTAAAGATTTAGCAATAATCTTTCCAAAATAAAAAGATGTTATTAAAAAAATCAGGCAAATGCTTTGTTGCCTAATATCATTATTTTAAAACCACTGCAAAGTTAAAAAAAAAATTTTTTCTAGTGATTTTAAGAATGATTTGTAGAATTTGTAAGTGCAGTGGTTGAAGGTAGAATCTGAGAAACTAGAGCTAGGAGACTGCATTAAAATGAAACTTTTTCATGTAGCTTTGTTTTTAAAGGATGACACTTCTGGTCCAATATGTTTAGTAGGGCCAAATATTTATTCTTCTTTAAGAGATGACCCTGGGGGCTCTCTACTCTGTCTCCGGTCAGGGAAAACAGCACTTACCTGTTGTTGTCTTGGTTCATGAAACCTTACCCTGATTTCAGAGGAGCTGGCGGAGGATGGGGGGAGAGAAGGTTCAGCTACATATTAAGTACTCATTGTCATGAAATCCTTGTTGTTGTGACTTCATGTTGTGTTCTGCAAAGTGTTTTCAAGATGAAGGGTGGATCTTTTACCAGGGTACTGATGAATAGCTGAACCAGTACACGCAATCAGATGGTGCGCCTGGCATGACTCGGGTTGTAGCCACATGTGCAGTGGAAATCCAGGATGCTTTGTGTGCAAGCATAATAGGGTTTTATGGTCCCATTCATGAGGAGGAATGAAATGGAATTTGAGATTGCGTTGGATATGGCTGTGGCTCAGCCAGCTGTGGGAAATGAATGGAAACTCAATACTTTATTCTGTACAGGTATATTTCCATTCACTTGTAAGAATTAAAAAGACAGACCAGCTGCCATAATATGTCCACGTGAGGGCTGTGGCTAGGCAAACATGGATGAAGGCACAAGGTATGTTTCTCTGTTCCATGTGGTAATGTTCATTACCTGTGACATGTTCCGGCCACCCCCTGTATTGTCCAGAGGACACGCAGATTGTAGGGTATGATTGCATACCTCTTAGGAGGTAGCAGGAGCTAATGGTGGTGGTGGAACCTGCAATGTAGTAACTCTGAGTGCAAATAATATCTTGAACAGTTCCTTTTGCTGCTCTCGCTCTTCCTCCACCTGTAGTCATGTTCTATCAGTTTCCTCCTATGCTGTGCAGCCTCCTCTCTCTCCCACCTGTATACTCCAGGGGGCTCGTCTACATTGGCCCCTTTTCCGGAAGGGGCATGGTAATTTTTGAAATCGCAATAGGGAAATGCGCGGGGGATTTAAATATCCCCCGCGGCATTTAAATAAAAATGTCCGCCGCTTTTTTTCTGGCTTTTAGAAAAGCCGGAAAAGAGCGTCTACACTGGCCCCGATCCTCCGGAAAAAGCGCCCTTTTCCGGAGGATCTTATTCCTACTTCAAAGTAGATGGCTTTGCTTAAGAAGAAGATTAAAAAAAACAAACCCACTCATAAGCCCTCTCTCCCCGTCCCAGCCCTCCACATGGTCCATGGCAGTTTGCTGGACCCCCCCCCAGCAGACATGGGGGACAGGAGCAAAGCAGCCCAGGTGGCGGGACTCCTGCCGCCTGGGCGGCTTTGCTCGGGTGTCCCTGGTCTGCTGGGGGGGTCCAGCGGCTTTGCTGGACCCCCTCCAGCAGACCAGGGAGACCGGGAGAAGCTTTTCTCGCCCCAGAGGACACGGGTGGCGACCCGCCGCCCGTGAGCTCCGGGGCGAGAAAAGCCCCGTTCGTAAGTGCGGATGCGACGTAAGTCAGATCCGCGTAAGTCGGGGACTGCCTGTAATCAAATGTCTTGCTTGCCCCATGCAACAAGTTAACCCAAATGTGTCTGTGTTCCTTTGGCTGGCTACCAATGTGCTTGATGCAGGATTTTTACTGATGGCCATAGTTAATACTTGTGCTGACATGTAATACCTGAGCATTGACTGTGTTTCCAGTTGAACAGTATAAAGGGTTACATTCTGAGAAGATGTATAATAAATCAGGAGGTTGTTTTGCCTCCCTGGCATGGAAAGTTTTGCGATGGAAGGGCTATAGAGTAGCATCGGTGCATTCTCCATACCCGAGTCTCACAATCTGGACTTGAGCTCTGTCTATAGTGAAAAATGCCTGGGCTTTGACCTGTGTCACAGCAGGGCTCAGGCTCTGCAGACTCAAGCAGGGTTTGTGGGGCTGAACCCAGAGGGGTCCCTGACATGAGTCAGACTAATTTCTTTGTGGATGGAGCTTAAAGCTGAGTTAGACCTCAAACTTCGTATACTGTATAGAGATAAGCCAAGAATACTTGATATAGATTCTAAGCAACACAACTATGTAGTGTTTTTCTCTTAATTATGTACAGCTCTCCCTGACCCTTATGCGCTTCACATTTTATTTATCTTTGCAGTAACAAGGTGAAAGAAAGATTAGAACAGCCTGATATTCTGAGCTTTATCTAGTATTGGTCAACTTGATTAAACTTTACATAGGCATAAAAGGGCTTGTTTCGGTATTGTAGGTATTCTCAAACTTTGTTGTAGTGAGCCTCCCTAAACTTAAAAAAGCAATTGCCCCTTTTCCTCTTTACTAAGACAACAGGAAGAACTGAAAGTATGGTACTTTGCAAGAATACAAGTGATAAAGTGGTAGGGCTTTGATCTGTATGTAGTAGAACATCAGAGTCGTGAACACCTTGGGAAAGAAGAGTGTTCCTAACTCTCAAATATTCAAAACTCTGAACAAAACGTTATGGTTCTTTCAGAATTTTACAACAGCAGTATGGTAACTTTATACAGCTTTGAAATTTACTATCACAGAAGAAAAGTGCTGCTTTTAATTTTCTTAATTGAAATCTGAGGTCTCAAATGCCCAGCCTGCAGGCCAGTCCTGGTTTGAACAACTGCGCAATTCAGCCCAGGATGCCCAGCGGGTCAGGAGAGGGGCTGTCAGTTACCAGCCCCCAAGCCTGGCCCTTTCCCTCCACTCCCCCATCATCCCCACCCTCTCCCCCCATGGCACTCCATCCCCTGAGCACGCAGCTTTGTCAGTCACCAAGAGAGGGACCTGGCACTGCACAGCAGCCTTGGTCAAGCCCTCCTGCACTCCACATGGTGGCAGGAGCTTCAGGGGTAGTGGATCTTGGGAGTCTGTGGGGAGTCTCATAATCGTTCATGTGTTTTAAAATAGAATTCTGATTTAGATGAATCATATTTTTAAAGTAGCAAGTGTGTATGTGTGTGTTTATGCTGTGGAAACATATATAGAATACTTATAATCAGTGTGAGAGCTTGTCAGTGTACTGCTTTTGATGTCTGATTAGATGATCATAGGGACATCTGGAGTGAGTTAGTTTTGAAGTTATTGGTGTGAGGTATTGTAGAAGCCAAAGCTGTCTGGCAATTCTAAACCGCAAAAAATGCTACTTTTTAAGTATCTTTTATAAAGAATAGCAAGCT